GTTTAAATTGTATTGTAACGCCATTTTTTGCCATTCCTCTTCTGGAATTTTAAACCCAATGGGGACTGAGGGTCCACAATTTATAAGGTAAGCAGTTGTGCTCACTGCGTCTGCCTAAAACATTTTTGGCATCCTTGCATGTAACCTCATGCTTTTACCTCTCTCGTTTAATGTTATGTTCATCCTCTCTGCAACACCGTTTCGCTGAGGTGTTGTTGACATAGTTTTCAACATTCTGATTCCATCATTTGCATAGTAATCAGTAAACTCCTTGCTGCTATATTCATCCCCATTATCTAACTTTATACATTTTATGTTTGTCTCGTTCTCCACAACAACTTTGAACCTTTTAAACGTAGAGAAAACGTCAGATTTATTTTTCAGAAAGTAAACCCATACCTTTCTTATAGCATCATCTATAAAGGTAACGTAACACCGGGAACCTCCTGTTGATGAAATTGATGTGGGACCGAAGACATCAGAATGTATCAGCTCAAACTTCTTTGATTTTGGTGGCTGACCCGTCTTCACGAAAGTAAGGGTCCGTTTGATAGTGAGTTTGACTGGTTCCGGTCAGGAGTTTTGGCTGAATCGGTCCTAGTCAGCCCCTTTGATAAAGCCCAAAAGTAATTGACTCGGTCAGAAATATCTAACCCAACTCCTTATTCGACCCAACTAAAAATTGTGACCGATCGAAACAGAGAGACAATAATCCCCTTTGTTCCCTCGTCACCGCTTTCACACTCGTTTTCTTCCTTAATCGCTAAACTAGAACTCAACCATGCCGCTCGTTCCTCTAGTTTAGCCATACTGTAGTCCTCGACCTTCATCGACGTCCGACGACCCACCATCGCCGCCCAACAAGCAAGCCCGCCGATTACAGATGTCCTAGGCGACTTCTTTGATTTTGATTAACCGACAAGAATCTTGATTTCTCATATTTTTCATCTTTGAGTTCGATTACAGTTCCATCATCTTCATAAGAAATTTTATTTACAACGTATGAGTCCATCAAATCTTATAAAAGTCAGACCTTCGATTTCAAATACAAGATTAATATGGATTTTTTTTGCAAGCATACAGTTGCCAGTTTCTACTTGTAGTTCGCATTCTACACTATAATATGTTCTAGTTAACTTTTTTTCTTTTCGCCTTTGTTCTGAGCTGCTGATTGTATTCGTGTGATTATGTTAACAATTTCAGGCTAACTATTAATTTATGATCACTTGTGATTGAAGCACGAACCATTGCAAAAAAAATCATTAGACTATGACCAAATTAAAGAGAATGTCAAGAAGGCCCATTATGATATGAGTGGTGAGTTGTATCTTCGTGCTTTAGAACTTCAAAAGGAGGGGAAAAAAGGTAATTCTAGTCACCCCAACCATCTCAAATAAATGAAAAATGGTCAATTAAATTCATACTATTGTCGTTAAATGTAATTCATGAGTGAATGGTATTTATTTGCAATTCATACTTTATGTGAAGCATGCTATTGTTTAATGTGTAATGTGATCATATGTTTGTTACACTTCTGTTGTTGACCATAATCAATACCCCTCCCTCAACACCAATTCCAATATTTCCCTCAAAGTTGAAATGTGGACACTTTCGTGGTGTTTTGTTTTAGTGTTTGGAACGGCTTTAATTAGCTTATGTTTTCCTATATTTTCTAGTAATATCTCTAAATCTAATCATTGATGTTTACTATCTACATCTTTTCCGATGCTAGTTCTTATAAAAGACGGTTAATTTTAAAGTCAAGCCAATACTACTTTTTTTACGTAACCCAAGGAATTACATTGGATTGGAGTCGAGATGGACACACAAAGTAGCTAAAGTAGCATCAGGTGGCATGAAGCATTAATACACTCATAAGTTCAAATTTTTATTATTTTTATGATTTGTTCATGTAAGCGGGTAATTATATGTCATATTTCATGTCTCACTTTTTTATGGTGTTTTTGTATTGTGATTATTGGATTTTTTTAATTTCTTATAAATTATGTATGGATATGAGATTAACAAATTGTTTACTTGATTGCTCTTTTCTTATGGGAACATTATATTTTTTGTTTTTTGTTTTCTTATTAAGGCATTGTGCATTGAATAATCTACCTAATTATAGCATTGTTTTATTAAGGCATCAAAGTTCATTGCCTTTTCTGGAATCTAGAATAAAATTCATTGCTATTTTTGGCGCTATATCCATCAAGGAGTAATATGGTAATTTTTCATCATTCATCACAATCAGTTAAAAATATAATCAAACAACATGGTTTTAGTCACACGTGGACCCAGTCAGAAGTTCTAACTCGGTCAGTACTAACTCAATCAACACTAACTCAGTCAACAACTATCAAACGAACCCTAACTCTTTTCTGTTTACCAAATATGCATGGTTCACAGAAGTCGACTGTCACATTCTTCAACTATGAGATCCTTCCCTTTAAAGCAAACATCTTTATTCCCTTCTCATTCATATAACCAAGTCTTTGGTGCCATAAAGTAGAGGACCTCCTATCTCCAATAGTTGCATTTGCTTCTCCTGAGGTCAACTCCCCTATATATAACATTCCTTTCTTCTTTCCTTGAGCAATGACCAAGTTTCCTTTAATAATCTCCCATTTATCTTTTCCAAACTTTACATCATGTCCCTCTTCATCCAGCTATCCCACTGAGATCAACATTTTCTTCAGGCTAGGAATGTATTTCACATCCTTCAAAATCTAGGTAGTACCCATTGAAGTTTTTAAAGCTACATCTCCAATACCACTGATCTTAAGAATTTTACCATCTGCTAGACGAATAGTACCGTTGTAAGGTTTGAAATTTCTCATGATTTCTTTGTTGTGACAAGCGTAAAATGATGCCCATTAATCCATCACCTAGGACTCGAATGAATTCTCTACACAACAAATAAGTGCATCATTGTAGTCTTCAACCACATTCATCTCCTTCTTGTCATTATCTGTAGGAGGTTTAGGACATTTATTTCTGAAATGTCCTATTTCATTACAGTTCTAACAGACGACTTCTTTTCTGCTTTTTGACTATCCTCTCTTCCTTGACTTTGATCTTTTTCTTCTGTATCCACCTTTGTTTTGTTTTCTGCACTCCCTTCCATATTGAGTAAACTAGTGGAACCTTCTCCTACATTCTTTCTCTGAACATCTTCGCTAAGAATCAGATCTTTGATGCTTTTAAATGTAAGTTTGGTAGTTCCTGAAGAACTACTAACTGCAGTAACTGTTCCAGCCCAGCTTTCGGGCAACGAAGATAATAATAATAAAGCCTGGACTTTGTCCTTGAATTTAATTTCAACAGATCCTAACCTGGATATTATCGAATTGAACTCATTGACATGGTCTGTCACATACGCTCCTTCCTTTATCTTCGTGTTTACCGATTGTCTGATCAAGAAAACCTTGTTTGATGTGTATGACTTTTCATACATGCTGGACATCTCCTTTATCAATCCAAACGTGGTCTTCTCATTGACGATTTTGTACGTGACATTCATCGCTAGTGATAATCTGACAACACCAAGGGCATGCCGGTCAAACAAGTTCCTTTATGCCAGATCCATCTTCTGAGGTTTCTATTCAGATAACGGTAAGTGTAATTTCTTCTGATATAAGTAATCCTCAATCTCTATCACTCGAAACGTGGTCTTTTCATTGATGATGTTGTACGCGACATTTTTCGTCGATGATAATTTGACAACGACAAGGGTCTGTCGGTCCAGCAAGTTCCATTCTGCCAGATCCATCCTCTCAGGTTTCTGTTCAGATAACGGTAAGTGTAATTTCTTCTAATATAAGTAATCCTCTATCTGCATCTTCCAGAATCCAAAATCATGGCCTTCAAATTTATCGATATTCACCTTCCTGTCTTCATCCATAACTTTGATACCAGTTGTTAGGTAAAGAACAAACGATAAATGGAAACATATATGAGGAATATAAGAAAAAATAGAAACATAAATCAAATCAAAGCACACAAAACACAAAGATTTAAGTGGTTCACACTATCTTGCGATGATAGACTACATCCACTGTCGAACCTGAGATAGATTTTATTCCACATACGCTTTTTCTGCTACAATGTTACAAATACGATCGTTCATAAGTATATATAAATGACACGATTTGACATAAAAGCCATAGAAAAAATTGGCTCACCAAAAAATTTAAGTATTTAAATTTCAGATTTGATGATAAGTCTCTATATCTAACATATACAAGTAGATTTTTGTAGTACTAGAAAATTTTATAGCGGTTTTGCATTGAACATTGAATTTTACAATGTTATTTTAGTTTGTAGATATCAAAATGTCATCGTAGTTTAATTGGATTCGCGTGCAAAAGTAGAGGTGCACAAAAAAACCGGTTCAGGATCCGAACCGGTAAACCGGTTCACTATGAACCGAATCGAATCAAGAACCGAACCGCCGGTTTGCACCCGTTCGAGATTTTAGACATTGAAATCAGTTTAATAACGGTGAACCGGTTTGGAACCGGTAGTCAAACCGATCGAACCAGTTTAGAACCGATGTAACCGGTTTAGATAGGTTCGAGTTTTTCTATGATGGAACCGGTTTGAACCGAACCGGTTTATGGATGAAACGGTGTTACTATGCTTGAATCGGAACCGAACCGGTTTATTGAACCGGTTCGGTTTAAAAAAAAACCGGTTTGTACAACTCTACGCCAAAGCCATTTCACAATATCTATAATTTCTACAAAATTGGTATGTATTAGTTTAGGTTTGTTTGACAAAAATAAACTAATTTATTTTAATTTAAAGTTTGGTAAACTATAAAAATACTTATAAGTACTAATTTGACAAACATGAGCTTAGCGGATGATTTTCTTAAATTCTTATTAATTAAAAAAAAAAACTTAAAAAACATAATGATTTTTTTTATCTTTTTATTTTAAAAAATAAAAATTATAGTCTACATTAGGGCTTCACGGATCAAAATTGTTCGAGTTTGACCCAGCAATGGCACCCAATAGTCTTTCACAAGGCGTCCCTTTCTTTAATCCTACTTACTTTCATTAACACCAGAACACCATTCTCCAAGAATCTCTCTTTCTCCTATTTCTAGTGCTACAAGGATTCGGTTGGCGATTGCCATTATCACCATCACAACCTACTTCTGCATCCAACCAACACCATCCGAATCGTATTTCAGTCTCTCATCCTAACCACAACCAGTTTTCTATCTGTAATTAACAGTTGAGCTTCTCGATTCTTCACAAAAGGGGTTCTCCCTTCCTTGTTCTTCCCCAAACCAATCATGAGTCTATCAGTTGTTCAAGTAAGCTTCTTAATTAATTTCTTCTTATGCATGCTGATTCGAATTCGCGTTGTAATTGTAATTGTATGTATGTGGTGAAATCAGGGGTTTAGCAAGTCTCTTGCGATGACTGTTCTCTCCGAAATTGGTGACAAGACATTTTTCGCAGCTGCGGTGAGCTCAATTGCTACTGATTTCGTGTCCTTTCTTTGTCTTATTTTTTTTGGTTATCTGGTTACTTTTCGAGATTCGATTTTAGTAGCTTATTCGATTGATTTGATTGATGATGCTCCGTTTCGCTATATCTCATAAAATATGCTCTAGATTGGGCAAAACGTGTGCAAAAAATTAAAACGTTGACTATATGAATCTCAGTTTTCCGTTTTTAAGATTAAATGTTATGATCCTGATTTTAGATTTTGGCGATGCGTCACCCCAGGCGATATGTTTTAGCAGGCTGCCTTTCAGCTTTGATTGTAAGTTTTTTTCTCTCTTGTCAATAACTCCAAAAATCGTATAAAGCTTTGATTTGATTAAGAGCATCAACCATAGGGCCTTTTGGAGCTTTTTAAGAGCTTTTTTATCCCAAAAAGCTCATTGAAAAAGCTATTGGGGAAGAACACTAGCTTTTTCAATATTTTGGTGGGTCCCATAGGTTTTCTAACTATTAGAATTAGACAACTTATACAAGAGTCTCATAAACAAGCAACTTGAAAAAGCTATACCTTTGTGGAGATTAAATTCAGCTTTTTCATTAACAAGCTCTTCACAGAGCTTGTTAATTAACTAGTAACATGAAAAAGCTTTTCTTATAGCTTTTTCAGTTTTCAAGAATTGAAAAAAACTCCTGTTATGGATGCTCTTAAAAAGTTACTATTATAAAGTTGATTCACTGATTTCTAGGTCATGACTATTCTTTCTGCTGCTGTTGGTTGGGCTGCTCCAAACCTGGTATATTTCTTCCATTTTTTTTTATATTTTTATATTTTTTTCATTATCAGAGGCATTTGAAAGGAATGGAATCTGTCAAAATATAAAGGAATTGTAATCTATCACTGATTTGATGAGTGTTTTTATGACTTATGTTTGTGATAATGCAGATCTCTAGAACATTGACTAAGCATATAGCCACTATATTATTTTTAGGGTTTGGATTTTGGTCATTATGGGATGCATTTCATGAAGGGTAACAACCTTCTTCATTCACAATCATTATTCACATCAAATTCTTATAGGAATTTATGGAATCTAATTTTGTTTATTTCAACAGGGACTCTGAAGAATTAGCTGAAGTTGAAGCTGAATTGGTTAGTTACTTTTGCCTAGTGGGCCCCCCTTTATTACATAGGACAGGACAAGTCTGTGTTTGACACGCATTGGACTCAGACCGATGTGATGTCAGTGGACAAAATTTTTAATCTTTGGTGACACCCAAAAAGATGGAAAACACTCGGCATATCATTTTCTGAAAAGACGTAAATGCCCTTATCATTGAAAATAGTTTGGAAATCTTATGATTTTCTTGTAGGATGCTGATTTGCAAGCTAATGGAAAACCTAAAGCAAATGGAAAGGTAATGCAACAATTTTTCATGCTTTTATGAATCTACACAACAATTTTTCATATATATATTTTTAGTCAATTACATTGACTTAATAATATTCATGGTTTTAATCCATATTATATTTTTGTAGGATGATGACGACACTAAAAAGAAGAACAGACCATTTTTCTCTCAATTCTTCTCACCCATTTTTTTAAAAGTATGAATCCTTAAACTCTCACATTTATATTAAAAAAAATACGATGCATAATTAAAAATTATCTAAACAGGCATTCACCATAACCTTCTTTGGCGAATGGGGTGACAAAAGCCAGGTCAGCATCAGTCTTGAAATATTATATATTTATTTATTTACACTCCACGTCAGCATCAATCTTATTAAATATAAAATTTATTAAACTTTCAGATAGCCACCATTGGTTTAGCTGCTGCTGAGAATCCACTCGGTGTTGTTCTTGGAGGAATTTTGTACGTTAAAATAATTATAAATTATTTTAATCTTTACTCTATTTTTATGCCAAAAATAGTTATATAAATTATGGTCTTTTATATCTTGATTTTAGAGGGCAAGCTTTGTGTCAAACTGCTGCTGTCTTTGGAGGGAAAAGCTTGGCAAAACAAATATCTGAAAAATTCGTAATAACACACACACACACACATTAATTAATTAATTAATTTTTATTTATTTCTTGCTCTTAAATCTTGTTTTTGTAATGAAATAAACTTTACTAATTTTCTCATGCAGATTGCGTTATCGGGTGGAGTTCTCTTCATAGTTTTTGGAATCCAATCATACTTCTCAACGGTTGATTCATGATTCAGGGTATTTATTTTTTTATTATTTTTTTGTCTGAATAAAATGCTGTCTGGATTTATCAGTCTGTGACTGTGTGCATTGCTTTTGTGGACAGATGATAAGGATGGGGAGGGGTGTGTTGAAGTCTTGAAGAAGACACATTGTTATGACATGCTATAAGTTTTGTAATTTGTAAATCCAAAAGATCCAAATGAAAATCGGGCTTTGATACAATTCAAAACTATGAATTATTGACACCCTTATGCATGGCATATGTTGTGTAGCTTTAGACAGTTTGTTTAAATAGACATTTTTAAATCTAACCTTATTCCAATCATATATATTGTTCTTAATAGATTCAAAATTCGTATGTGCATATGTAGATGTTTAGGTCATAGGCCAATGTAGTTGGTTAGGGGATTGTATATTTGTAGGAATGGTTAAGGGTCGTAGTCTAGTAGACACAATGTTGGTTTGGGGATTGCATATATCAATGGTTAAGAGTTGCTATCTCAATAAACGCCATGTGGAATGATAAACCAAAGCTTAAATCAAAGTAAAAATACGACATTTTCTTACAAAGTTCCTAACGTTATTTTGTAATCCTCTAGTAGATGGTACCCACAATCCTTTGTCTTGTAGCATGTATTCCGAGTGTCCTCCCATAACATTCACATGAAATAACCCAAGGTAACCATCATTTTTTGAATACTTTTGATTAGAAGAAGAATCCTCTTTAATACATCAATAATCCCTTATAATCTACCCTCCCTTGTCACACTTTGTTTTGATTCTATCCTTCCAACCCGTGAATATGTTAGAAATAGCCAAACAAGTGGCACTAAAAGAAAATTTCAATTTAGCTACGAAAAAATTTCATAGTAAAGCTGAATAACTACAGAATTTGCTAGGCAAATTTTTAATTAGACTCTGTTGCTTTATTTATTGTAGCAAAATGTTTAGCTACGGACAATAGTAATTTTGCTATGATAGTTTCTACGACATTTATTTTGTTGCAATTTGAGTTTCATAGCAAATTCCGTAACAATTTTTCCGTAATCAATTTTGTAGCAATGTTTCCGTAGCAAATTTCATAGGGATATTTCCATGGAAAATTCCATAACAATTTTCCCGTAACCAATTCCGTTGCAAAATTCATAGCAATTTTTCTGTAGCAAATTCCGTAACAAATTTTCCATAGCTAATTCCATAGCAATTTACCATGGCTAATTCCATAGCAATTTTTCCATAGCTAATTCCGTAGCAATTTTTCCATAGTAAATTCCATAGCCAATTTTTCAGTAGCAATTTTTCACTAGCAAATTCCGTTGCAATTGTTCCATACCGTTAGTCGATAAAATTCGATTATTCAATTCGACGATTTATATCAATTTATAAAAATACAATTAATATAAAACCAAAAGTAAGAGAGTGTTTCTATAGAAACTAAAAGAAATATCCAATACATCAAAAGATACATATTTCAAAATCAAAAGTCGCTACAAATTAAACATGAAATAATATTCAATACATAATATTCTATCATTGATTAATAAAAGTTTTGACCTGTTCACTCAAAGTGTTAATCATATTCATTGCTTGTGCAAGTTGTTCAAACTTTGCTTGAACATCCACATTTTTCTGTTGAAACCCTACATTCTTTTGTTGACCATCCTCATATTTTTGTTGAAAATCCTCATATTTTTGTTGAATATCATCATATTGTTCGCGTTGCGTCTCAACTAACTTTTTCAAATTTTCAATCTCGACTTTTGTCTCGACACGCTCTTTATTGGTATTATTATCTGACAAATCATAAGTTTCAGAAGATCCCTTTCTAGAACGAATGTGCTTGACATATAAGCCAAATCCATATATGATAAAACTAAATGAAAGTACATTGTTATTTTATGCATTAAGGCTTATTTCTTTTAAAAATCAAAATGGAACTAGAATGTTATGATAAAATACTAAATAAATGTAGATTACTATGATACAAAACTAAATGAATGTAGATTGCTATGATACAAAACTAAATGAAACTAGATTGCTATTTTTTAGGCTTAGTTTGTAACATCCCAAAAATTCAGATAAAATATTTATTTTTAAATTCATTCTGATCATACGATAATCATATCAAAACAGTCGAGGGTATATTGTAATAAAATAATATCAGAGTACAAAATCCAAAATCACGTGATGCGGAAAAACATAGGTGGATGCAATGCGATCAGACCAGACCCTTCCCTTTTGAGCTGGAAGTACCTGAAACATAAACTGAAAATAGTAAGCACAAAGCTTAGTGAGTTCCCCCAAAACACCTCATACTACAAACATAATATAGTGGACCGACATTGGTGCTTTCGACCCACAAATACAGTAAAGGAAACTCACCTCAAACTGAAGGTATCAAATCACACTTGAGCCGATGACTCGCAAAATCCTCACTCTAAATCTGTAACATCCCAATGATGAGGTACTTCTAATTTTGACCCTATAGTTGAATCATTTTGCATTTTGGTCCCTAAGTTTAAGAAATAGTGCAAAAGGGCCCATAGTGTCACAACTAGCATTCTAGCTAGGAAATTCTATCCTCATGTAAACATCAACTATTGTAAGACTTGTAATTGAAGTGGGTATCATACTTTATGCTCAATCAAAATCATCCATTTGAATCAAAACTCCTGAGTGAAGTTCAAAAATCTAATACAATGCATCTCGTATACTTAACTATGGGTCTGAAACCCTAAATATCCCGGTTCAAATTTAGTGTGGACTAGGATCATCTTATTGGGCCTAATGGGCTAGTAAACCTTTTATTTGATGATTTTGGGCCAATGAAACCCATTTGGGCTCTAGTTGGTCCCACATTCATCAAACCATAGCAATTGGGCCATGTTGGGCCTAAAATAACTCGCTTATTCTTATGGACCTTTATGGGCCGTGAACCACCCTACTGAACCATGATGGGCCGTGAACCCATCCTCTCATGGTATTTGGGCCTTGAACCCTCTTACCTTATCATCATTGGGCCGTGAACCCTCATAAGGGCCCAATGGGCCGAAAACCATCAACTTGGGCCTCATAATATCGAAATCAAGCAAGTATGGCCCAAACTTTTTCTCCTTTCTTTTTCCTTTCCCCCTTTCTCGTCCCACACATATAAAAAAAAGAAAAACAACGGGATATTAGGAGTGCCACCTCACTAATGACCAACAAATATCAAGGTAATTACCTCCCATATCTCCATGCAACATCAAATCATCTCCCCCCCCCCCCTTCATTCTTATTCACGGCCAAAGAGCCAAAAACTCCCACCACCTTCATTTTCCTCTCAAGCTCAACTAAATACTTCTCTCTAGATATCTCAATAAATCTCTCATTTCCTCCTAGGAAAATCGTGTGTGATTGGGTGTGTGCTTAAGAATACATCATCAAAGTCCATCATCTTGGTAAGATATCTTATATTCTAGTGTTTAACTTCATCATATAACAAATCCTCCATCCATTAACCCACAATTTCATGATCCATGCTCTTAGAACTTCATAGATCTCAAAAATCTCCTCAAGGAAACATCTAGGGCCGAAATCTCCTTCAAACTATTCATCAAACCGAGAATAACAACCCAATGTGAGTTCATACCCCCTATTTTCGGTTTTTACTTTGTTTTGGGGAAAAATACAAGTTGTTTTGTGTAGATCTATGTGTGTATGCATGATTTTGTGTGTTTTTCTAGTTATATATGTGATTATATGTTGTAAACTTCATGAACTTAAAGATCTACTAGAAGATGATGCTATTGGTATAACATAACACTTATTTCAACTTATCTTACAAGGAAATGGTTTTAAAATACCTACAAGTTACTTAAAACTAAGAACTTTGCATAAGAGGGTTAATTTTGACAAAATAAACAAAAGTGAGGTTCTCATGTTAACCTACGGTTCTTGAGAAGACCAAAAGAGTCATTTCTAAATCAAAATGGATCTTTATGATATTCATGGTTTTAAAGGGGCCAAAAGTGCAAATTTTTGCAAATGGGCTTCTATATGAGCCTTCACGGTTCTAATGGGCTAAATATGTCAATTTTCACAAAAATGGGCCTTATTTGGGCTTCTCACGACTTTGGGCCAAAAATTGTACATTTTTGAACTTTTGTGGGCTTAAATGTCATTTTCAACAAAGTTGTGCCAAAAATGTAAATTTTTGATAAGAAGGATTAAAGATGTGAAATTATTAAAATTTGGGCCAAAAAGATGAAATTATCTATAATGGGCCGAAAATGCACATTTTTATAAAAATCAAGCCAAAAATGATATTTTTGACAAAAGTGAGTTAAAAATGTTATTTTTACAAAAACTAGCCTTAAATGCAAGTTTTGTTCTAAAAAAGGGGGCCTGAAATGTTATTTTTACCAAAAATGGGCCTTAATTGTAAATTTTTGGCTTAATGGGCCAAGAACGTCATTTTTACAAAAAGTGGGCCTTTTATGTCATTCTGGTAAAATAATTAAGCTAAAACTAGCAATATAATAACAAACGGGCTAATTATGTCATTCTCATGTTTATTGGGCCTTAATGACCCATTTATATGCTTGATAGGTCCTGAATACTCTTAACATGTTTATTGGGCCTTGTTGACCCATTTACATGCTCGACGGACATTGGATACTCCTTGCGTGCTTATTGGGCCTGTAAAGATCATACATGTGAAATGGGCCTTAGTTGTCATTTTACATATATTTTGGGCCCAGGTTATATAATCTCATTCCTTTTGAGCCTAGAAATACTTTACATGCTTCGTGGGCCTTAGTTGTCCACTTACATGTTCAGTGGCCCTGAAATGTACTTTATATGTTTCTTTTCGCGTAAATTTGATTAAGGATCTAGTGAGATGTGTCGGTTGACACCTGTTGAGTGTACGATCGTAGCCTGTAGTTATAACCAGAGTCTCTTGGAGGGAGAGCAGGGGTTTGTGTATAGATCTATACGGGGATGACACCCCACACCTAAGCTGTTCGCTACAGTTAGACTAGACCAGTCTAGGGTGACAAAAACCTTATTCTATTCCGTCGGCGTCCATAAATGCCAAGACATGCGAAATTGCCATTATCTAGTATGGTTATAACGACTCACTTAGAGGAATTAACATTATAAAATTTACGAGAAAACCATTCTTTTTTCTCTTTGGATTACTCCGTAACTTACTCGCGCCGGTACGCACCATAGGGGGTTGCTTTACCAACATTCTCTTTTACAGAGAACATCGGGTTGTCTGGGGGCATTCTCTTTACATTCTCTTCATTCTCTTTTGGCATTCTAGTAAACAATAACA